AAAAAAAAAAAAAAAAAAAAAAAAAAATAAAATTTGCGAAGGAAGCGAGGACAAAGAGAGGCCGGATCAAAGCACGCGCCGGCGCGGGCTCTCGGCCTCGCCGGCTGCCGCCCGGGCCCCGGCCCCGCCGGCCCCTCTCCCGGCCGGCCGCCGACAGCCTCCTCCCGGGCTTTGAGCCCGAGCCCCGGGGGAGTGGGGGAAGGGAGGCCGAGAGGGCGGCGAGGTGGTGCCTGCGCCCCAGTCCCCTGCAGGACGTGGCAGCGGTGGGGGCGGCGCTCCGCCAGCGGCCTCAGTCTCCCCTTCGGGGGGCACCCGGCTAGCTTTGCCTGCTTCCTTCCTTCCTTCCTTCCTCCCTCTTCCCTCCTCCCCCGCTCGCTCTCTCCGGCCACCGCCGCGGTCTCCCCTCCACATTGTCCGCAGTTTATTGCCTCTCCCCTCCCCTCCCCCCACCTCGCCTGGCCTTCGGCCTGGTATTTCCTCACTTTTTATAACTTACTTTGATCCGGCCTCTCTTTGTCCTCGCTTCCTTCGCAAATTTTATTGTCCCCGTAGCCGGGTCTTTGATTAGACAGGACGGCCTCCCTGCCCGCCGAAGTTTCCAAACTGTACTCGGGCGTGCCCTGTTTGAGCAGCTCCCCAGGCGCGCCCAGCAGCGGCTCCGCCTTCACCGCCGCCTGGCCCTGCCCCGGAGCAGCTTCGCCGCGCGGCGCCGGCTCCAGCCAGGTGCGGAGGTACCTGCTCTCGGCCGGCGGGACGCCCTGGGGCTGCAGGTAGGGGTGGTAGACGGACGGCAGGCTTCCGGACGCGTGCGGGCTCAGCGGCGCCCAGGAGGCGCCGAACACCGGCGCTTTGGGCTGGAAGCTGCACGAGGGGAACTCCAGGTGCTCCGCGTGGCCCGGCTGCCGGGGGCTCGCGTACTGGCCGGAAGGAAACTTGGCTGGAGGAGCGTCCTCACTCTCGTGACTTATGATCGAGTCGACATAATAGCTGCTAAGCGTCCCAGAAATGGACATTCTCAGACATTATCCGGGCGCTCGCAGGGGGAAGGGAAGCGCTCGCGCGGCGGCGCCCAAGCAGGGAGAGGTGGCACCCAGACCGGTGTGAGGGCTTTCGGACGCGACCCCCCCAGCCCCCCACCCTCCCACCCCCACCCCCTGCTCAACTTCTCAGCCAACAAAGTACAGTGGAGCAGCCCGGCTCAGCGCTCCTTGCAAAATGATTGGTCAAAGTTTTTCCGACTGCCTGATAAAGCGTCAGCTCCAACATAAATCAATCGGGCGAGGGGGCTGCGCTCTCGCTGTCATCCGTCCGCACCGCATTCCATATCGAGGATGGATTGTTTTATGCTGATGCAATGTGCTATCACGTCAGGGCTCCGGCGGCCACGTAACCTCAGCCCGAGCTGCCGGCCGCCCTCCCTCCCCACCCCCCTCCCCCCCTCCCCTCCTTTTGCAGGAAGGGGGGTTGTTCTCGACATGGGGCGGCGGGGGCGGAGGAGAGGCGGAGGGAAAGCAGCGGGCTGCCTCGGGAGGGATTCAGGCTGTGGAGCCCTCTCCCCAGGCGGGTCCGGGAGGAAGAGAGGGAGAGCTGGGCAGAGGGAGGGAGAGAACCCCAGCCCGGCGAGCAGACCGAGAGGCCCACAGCATAATTAAAGAGGGGGTGGGGACAGGACCCCCAAACGCCACTCCACCCCGCAGGCCTCGTTTCCTCTCCTCTGTCCCCTTGACACAAGATGTTTATTAAACACCAGTGCGGCAGCAATCCACTGGAGATGAAGTAAAGGGGATGGGAGAGAAGTTGGGGGGGGTTGTAGGGCATTATCTGCTTTGGAGGGCTCTCTGTGACTATGTTGGGAGGTTTACAGGCCTGGGAGCTTCTCCTGACCCCTCGGTAGCTGCCAGAGGAGAGCGGGGTGAGTGTCCAATGACCTGGTCCTAAAATTTAGCTGTCCTAAAATCAGAACCTACATGAGGTTAGAGGTATTCACCAGGCCCTGAAAAGTTGAGCCTCAGAAAGAGTTGAATACAACTAGCCAAAGGTCCTTTAAATTCCTGGGGCCTCTCTCTGGCCCCGGTCAGAGGGAAGTAGGGGGTGGGGGGGGGGGGCATAGCCATTACTCTTCTCCCCCCCCGACAACTGCGGGGGGGCGGCGCTTAAAATTGCCCCGTTGCGGGAGCCGAATGTGAGAAAGGGTTAAGGGAAATTCCCTAAGGTGTCAGCAGAGCAGAGGTGTGGGAAGGGGTCCCGCAGTTATCTCCCCTTACACCCAGTGAAGAAGGGGCCCAGTTTTCGACTCTTCCGGATGGCTCTTCTCACCCGGCATCGCCTTCCTGATAGATTTCCAAATACCGGTATTGGGCACCAGTGTAGACCGAGGGCTTGCAGGTCAGTCTCCCGGCCACCCGCCGCCTCCCCTCCTGTGAACTCTCTGGCTGGAGCTTTCAGATAGCCGGTTTTATTGGTCTCTGCTACGCGGCCCTGTGCGGATTCTCCCCTGGGGCCACCGGCTGGCTTCCTGGCTCATCTCCCGGCCGCAGCTCCTCCAGCTTCTGCCCTGGGTACAGTGGCTTCTTGTGGTGTAGAGGCACAGGGAGACGCAACCCCTGGACAGACCGGGCTCGCCTGCGGTTGGGGCTGGGAGCAGGCTGGGGTGGGTTTTCTCAGCATTGCCGGGCCCTGGGCCCTTAAACGATCGGCTGTCCCCAGCCCTGTCCTTTTACCGAAAGCGGGGCCATTCTAATTTGAGGTTTTATCTTTTTGGCCATGTACCCCTCTGCCTGCAGAAAGCTGCAGATCACCTCCGCACACACACAGACACGCTCCCGCCCGCTTTTCTTTCCAAATGAAGCCATCTCGTGTCATTACGTGTGAAATACGAGGGCGAAGCGCCATATTTCTTCACATTATGGCGATTTCAAAATGATTTTTTAAAGATCAATGCCAGCGCCCAGCCGGCCCCCTCCTTCCCCACCCCAGCTCTCCGAGGGCGACAGCCCAGCAGATCCGGAACCAAACAGCGTGAAGATCTGCTTTTTCCATGGGACCCAAGTGGGGAAACAAAAATCCGATGCAAATTCTTCTAAGTAGCGGTTGGACGCTTGGGAAAGTCAAGGGAGCTCCCCGGACTCAACAGCGAGAAAGCTGGGCACAGAGCGAATGAATCACAGTTAAGGCAAAGCACCTGTTCTCGATTTGCCAGACGTATGGAGTCTGCTCTTGGCTTTACCTGTAATAAATATATTCTTCAAAAAAAAAAAAAAAGCACCTCTCCTGCCATAAATAATGGTGTTATGAAGCGTGGAGGGCTGAGTATAAGACTTTCTGTAATATATAAATTAGGGCCCAAAAGGCCATGTGGAGTGTGGGCAGGGCCTTTTTTATTTATAGAAAAGTCACAGTGCTGGGCTGCTCTGAGGACCCAGGCCCGTGCAAGTACTGGGCTCTGACTGCAGCCCTCTGGTTCCCATTCCTGGCCCAGACTTTGTTGCTGCCTTTCTTTGCAATAAGAGAGAAGTCAAGAGGGACGCTTCCTTTAGGGAAGAAGTTAGAGGCAGCACATTTGAGCTCCTGACTTGTGCCCTACAAGGGTGGGGAGGCCCAGCAGACAGGGTTTAGGTTTCTGACTTGCCCGTCTCCCCTTGTGGCTCCTAGGTGCTGGGTAAGGAGGAGACCCAGGCCTCTTTTTCTGAGACCAGAGCTTAGCCTTTGCTCCTAACACCAGAGTGTGGGAACAGTTTCAAAATGACAGGTTTTGAGGTCTCAGTCTTCTCAGGAGAGAGGGCTCTGGAGGGAAGAGAACGAACCAGCACCCCAACCCTGGGTCTTGCACCCCAGCTCATCTCCCAGGTGGGGAAGCAAATGCACCAAGCGATAGTCCCACCCCAGCCAGCCTTTCTAGCAAATGCTGCTGTCCCAAACTGGAGCTCAACTCCAGTTCAGGCAGAGGGCTAAAGGGTCAGTGGGGAGGGAGCCCCCTGTTTGGGTGCTCTGAGGGTCTGTGGACGCCCTCAAAACCTTGTTTCCTCTCCCAAACAATGGTACCCACCGTGAGGGAAGGAGGCAAACAGGACTGCCGGCCGTCCCTGGAGCCCAGCTTCTAAAGATGCTTAGTAGAGAGGTTGCTTGAGTGGGGGTCACTTTGTCCGGAGACAGCAAACTGCTCCCCACGCCACTCCTAATCCTAAAGAGAAAGAAGGAAAACCTTGCCTGCCCCCCCGCCCCCCAGTCTCTGGCCATTCCCAGCACAGGAGCTGCCGCCTGAGCACAGCTAGGGCCAGTAGCTGGTGGCTCGGAGAAGGACAGGCAGGGAAAAGCTGCAGCCCTTGGCCACACTGGGGCCCAGAGCAGCCAAGAGCGAGGCAGAAGTGGGGAGAGCAGAGGCCGACCCTGGCCAGGACCAGACGGTGAGTGGCTGTGCTGGGGGGGGGGGGGCGGCTTTGGGAAAGATCCTTGTCAATAAGAAGAGAGAGGAAAAAAATCTAGACAGAGGGAAGGAAAAGCAAGAGAGGAGGAAAAAAGAAAAAGAAAAACAATAAATGGGAAAAGGGGAAAAGTTTGTTTTTAATAGATAAGCTAAGCTGAAACTTAGGCATTTTGTATTTGAATAGATGTGGATATCCTGTATGTAGATTTCAAATCGATATTTACTTATGGGGACCCAGTGTGCAAATGTGCTGTACTCTAGGTTGTGTATAGAATATGTAATAAATAAATACACCCTACTATAATAGCGGATGTGCTTGGGTGTTCACACAGAAGACCCAATGGTGCATATGTGGAGGCATGTATGACCCCTGTGAATGATGTGAGTTTACGATTCTGTTCGTAGAAGATCTGTTACCCAAAAGCTTGTGCATACATTTTTATAACTATCACACACCTACGGAAAGGGCAAAAACTTGAGTATTTGTGTACTTGAATTTTGGCTATAAAACATCAGTTGATCAGGAAGCCTTGCTTGAAAATCTCCTGTTGACTTGATATTCAGGCAAAATATATACCGTATCCTCAAACAAACGCATGTGGCTTACATCTGAATCCTTTGATAACTTTCTTCCAAAATATTTGTGTGGAAGGTAAAGGAAATGCCTCAGACTGGCCCAGGGGAGGTCATGAAATTTTGTGACTTTTTTTTTTTTTTTTTTTTTTTGGTCCGACCATGACCTCCTTTACTGTGTATCTCACCCCAAACTGCAGGAACGATGTACATCGTGTGATGTTTCTTTCATGGTAGTGATGGACACAACGATGTAGGCACCATTACCTGCACACAAGCGTGTCCCTCACAAGTGTGAATCTGACCAGTGGGCAGAGATGAGCTGAACGTGAAAGCCCTCAGGTAACTGTGGGGGTCACACAAAAGCACTGCTATCTACAACGAAATTACAAAGGTCCCCAAGCCTATGTCTCCAACCACCCAGAGATATTTCTTCTGACCCAGAACCAGAGTCCAGACCCACTCTGGGAAAGAAAGAGGGGTGGGGATGTTTGCTCCAAGGGGGAAGAAATCAAGGTCCCCAGAACCTTCAGCCTTTATACAAAACCAGCTCTAAACCGGGATCACATCGAATCCACACACATGGGTTCAAACCTCAATGCTGCCACACCCTCCAAGTGGGGATTTTAATTGCAAAGTAACGAAATCTCCTGCCAAATCTCCCTCCCAGGATGTCAGAGGTGAAAGGAAGAACGGAGAGGTCACCGGCCCAAGCAGACCTCAGGACTCTTCTTCCCAAGTCTCAGCCATCGGGGATATGGAAGGCGGTGGGGGTGGCTGACTCTTTGGGAGGGGGCATCCAGGAGGCCAAACGGGGTTGGGGGCAGGCGGGGCGGAAAGGAGCTGAGCAGGTAGAAGGTTATTACGGAATTGCTTCCATAAAACCTGAGGCTGTTGTAAAACCCTCTGCTTTCCAAAGACTTGATTTCCTCTTTTCTCTCTAACATCCCCCTTTTTTTCTTTTTACAGCACTGTTCCTGGGAGGGGGTGGCCAAGAGACGCCGGGATGGAAGACAGTCAGGCTCCAGGCTCCGGGTGGCTGGGCAGGTTTGTGAGAGGCCCAGAGAGAAGTAAGGTAAGGCAGAAAGACACCCTAGACCACCTTCACCCAGGCTGGAGGACAAGAAAATGTCAAGGAGTTGTGCTGTTGGCCTTTGCTCACCAGGGGGGTGGATTGAAGGCTGCATTTCTCCCAGGGCCAGAGGTGGGTCTCCCAAGGGCCCTTCCACTCCTAGCAGATGCCCCTTGTTCACAGACTGCCCCCCCCCCATGTCAGCTTGGCGCCAGAGCCCCATCCGGTCGGGCCTCTTTCCCGGCCCCTTTCCACATTCCCTTGCCTCAAGCAGGGGGGAAGAGTTTGGGAACAAAAGTTAGCTTATGCTTTGGACCGTCCCCTCCTTCCGCCAGTACTTCTAGCTATTCCTCTCCTGGGCCGGGAGCCAGCAGCCTAGAATGGGTTGGGGTCAAAGAGGGTATCATGGCTTTGCCCCTGCGCCATGCGCCCCCCCCCCCCCCGCATCATCTCCTGTCAGACCACCAGTCTGGAGTGAACTGCCCAACAGCCTGGGCTCCCCATTTAGCCTGCACCTCAGGCCCCTCTCCCAGGGGGTGGCCTTTAGGACCGAGGTAAACCTGTAGCCCAGCACAAGGGTCTAATGGGGAAGCCTTGGCCACTCTGTGGAACAGGAGCTGAGGGATTGGGAAACGTAGGACTTTTTCTGCCCCACCTCTGCCCCACTAGGGGGCCCTAGGAAGGACCCTGGAGGCGTACAGGCTGAGGCTACATGGGATCCTGACATTTCCCCTTTAGAATGGGACATACTGAGCCCTCTTCAAGGACCTGACGTTTCCTGTTGAAGTGGAGTCCTGTCCCCCCCCCTCCCCCCCCACCAAGGGTTGCAAAGATCTCAAGGATCCCCTGTATCTCTTGAAACCAAGCATTTGCCAAGTTGGAGAGGCTTTCCTTGGAAAGTCTAAACGTAGACAGGAGCCCAAGATCCCAAGGCAGAAAGCCTGAAGCCCCAACCAGCATTCTTTGGCTCTGCAGAATAGCCCAGCAAGGTGCCTCTGGAGAGTAGAATGTTCTCCATTCCCGCTTTCCCTCCCAACACCCACTTAAAAAATACGGAAGTAGGAAAGACACCCTAGGGCTTCCCACCTCTTTTCTCTGGGGAACATCTTCGCTGTTTCTGGGTGAAAGATCTCGAACCTCTTCACCATTTGGCAAGAGTGATACACTGGTCCTTATGCTGCCTCCCTGCCCAGCACCCACCCCCCACCCCCCACGCACACTCCTCCAGCTAAGCGAGGAGCAGTAGCTGCCGTGAATCGGGTGGTTTAATGTCGTTGTGTTCAGAAATCCAGGCCCAACAACATGAAACTACCTAATTCACTCAGCAGCTCCAGGTCAAGGGCTCACTGAGGGGGCAGACCCCCGTAGCCATCTTATGGGCCAAAAACAAAAACAAAAACAAAAACGGTTGGCCAACTCACTTCATTTTCCTCCACCACTTTCCCAACAGAACCCAGTTGCTAGTTAACAACCCATCCAAAGAACTGGAGGCAGGACTCCAGGCACAACCATTCAGGAGCCGGTGCCACCAGCTCTGAGATTCCGGGAACTTTTGTTCTCTTCCAGGAGCCCCCGTGGAGGAGGATGGGGACCCTAGGCCCAGCCCAGACCTGGACAAGGCCTCACGGCTACACCTGCCTGGTCACCACCTCTCAGCCTCCGTCTCTGCAGCTGGAGGTCTCCACAGATAAGATTTCTCAACTTCAAACTGTCATCAAGGCGCATCTCCACTCCCCGTCGTCGGGCTAGTGCCTATATTCCAGGGTCACCCGGGGTAGTTCCGAGAGGCCAAATCTTCAAGCCCTACACCACCCCCCTGCTTTGAGACTGGAGTAGAGACCGGAGAGTGGAGAGGGAGAAAGTGACTGCTGGAGACATAGGTGGAAAAGCAGAGTGTGAGAAAATACCAGGAAGACCAGGGATGACAGGCAGGCAAAAGCGGGTTGGCCTGGACAGTCGCTGCGAAGTCGCCCTGCCGGAAACGTCCGGGGTAGGGGTGGGGGGACCTGGTTCCGCAGAGGCTGAGCCGTCCCAGGTAAGAGGATCCGCTCCGAATTCACAAATGAAACCTGGAGGCTCAGCTTGGGACGCAGAGAGCAAGGCTGCTTCTTGCTTCCTGACCTTCAGCTTGGGCCCTTCGCTCTCCGCCCCCACCGATCTCCCCTGCGGCCACCTCTACCCCTCCAGACGCCCGCGTCGTCGCAGGTGTTCAGGCACACAGCCCACAGCGGGCGGGCGGCCGCGCGAGCCGAGGCGGCGGACTCACCTGGGCGGCGGCGGCAGCGGCGGCGGGAGCGGCCGTCGGAAGGCGCGGCGCCAGCGGCCTGTCCCCCCGTCCGGCCCGGCTCCCTCCCGCCCTGGCGCCGGAGGCGAGGGTCCGCGTGGCCACGTGTCCGGCGGGGAAGTCCGAGGGAGCGGAGGAGTCTGCCCGGCCGCCCGCTCCCCCTCCCGGGTATAAATCTTGGGGACCGGAAATACAATAAAACTTCACCGTGTTGATGAACTTCAAATGGTTTACATCCCCTCCTGTCCTGAAAAGAAAGACGGCCGGGGGGCGGGTTAAAAGGAAGGGGAAACAAATTTACGAGCCGCAGAAGCAGCCGCCTCGGCCCCTTTCTTTCGTCCGAGCAGACTGTGTCCGCGTGGAGAGAAGCAGCCTCGGCCCCCGGGACTTTGCGTCGGCTGTCCCCGGCTCCAGGGACTCTTCTCTCGCAGGAGTCGCCCGTGCGGAGGCTGGCAACTCACCGGGCCGCACGCACAGGCCCGGGCTCGGCGGACCCGGCCCTTCGCCCAAGCGGAGTTAGGCGCCCCGTCCTTCCTCGCTAAAGCCTGGCTCTGCCGGCCACGCCCTGTGGCCTCCTTCTTTGCGTCTTTCCGCTGAAAGCGGGTTTTTTGTTTGTTTGTTTGTTTGTTTTTTCTTTTTGCGCCTCTAGCTGCCAGACTTTTGCCCTGCCCCACCCGTTTATTGCCAGGTACTTGCTTGAAGGGGAGAGAGGGTCAGAAGGCCTGAAGGGGCTGAGCGGGGCAGGCGCTCCCAGAGGAGAAACCGAGATGCTGGTCTTGGCCAGAGTGGAGGTGACGGCCAGCGCTGAGTGGTGTCCAAATTGGCCTCTGCCACCGTCTCCTGTCTGGTTCCTTCAAAGCCTCCAACAACAGCCACTACCTGAACCTCCACTGCCCTCTCCATCGCTCTTTTCGGCTCCGGACCTTTTGCTTTTGTTTTGTTCTGACCAAACTTTGTGGAATCCGGATTTGGAAAATCGCTATTAGGCCGTAGTGAATCAAAACCAAAACCAAGGAAAGGGTCTTTTCGCTGTGAGCTCCAGATAATTGGGAGCGAAGTTGTTGATTTCCTGTTCACTTTGTCTGCTGGAGGGGCATGGTTAGGTGCACTTCTGGGCGGGAGAGCAAAGGAATTCGATCATGCCTCACAGTTATTCACCAAAAAATAAGAAGGATCTAGGTCTAAGAGGCGCTGGCGGGCTAAGATGAGCTCAGACGCAGTCAGGGCTCGGGTGCAGAACTGAGGCTCAGCCGCAGACCCAGGCTGGGGCTTGGTGCACTGGCGGCCCCTTCCTCCCACAGACACACACAGGTGCGCCCTGTGTGACCCGCCGGCTCCACGCCCACCCCCCACTTCCAAGGAAAGGCCCCAAAACATTACTGGGGACTTCTTTTTTTAAGTGATTTTTTTTTTTTTAAATGGGGACATCTGGTTGGCTCAGTCTGTACAGCAGGTGACTCTCGATCTCAGGATTGTGAGTTCAAGCCCCACATTGGGTGTAGAGATTATTTTAAAAAGAAAGAAGGAGGGAAGGAAGAAGGAAAGAAAGGAAGGAGGAAAGAAAGAAAGAAAGAAAGAAAGAAAGAAAGAAAGAAAGAAAGAAAGAAAGAAAAGAACAAAAAGGAAGAAAGAAAGAAAGAAAGAAAGAAAGAAAGAAAGAAAGAAAAAGAAAATTCAAAATAAAGTTATAAACAAATGGAAGGGGCAGGGAAAATACTATGGTCTACAGTTCGCAATTTTTTTGAAAGGCTAACTCTGAGGCAGGCAGTCCTCCTCTGCCCCAGCCAGTGGGGGATGGGAGCCGCCGTGCCCTCTGGCTCCTTCCCTGCACCAAGGAGGAGGAAGGCGGGGCTCTCATTAACAGCTGGAGGACAGGAAGTAGCTTGTTTCCATGCCCATATTCATATTCCAGGATATGCATGAGGAGGCCCCTCCGGCGGCTCCCTCCTTATTACATGCCCGAACTCCCCCATTTTGCTCTTTATCATGCTATATTTTTAATAAAAATACTGTGATGGCAGCTCCTGGCAGTCACCCCTGCTATGAGGATTTGCCTCTGGGAGCTGTTAGCGAAGGGCGGAGGGCAGGACTGAGGGGCCAGCAGTTTCCACACCATTCGAGACTGTTATTACCCGCCCCCTTGCCCCCTCCCCCAGAAGCCTGCAGTGGGGGCAGGTCACTGTGCTGGCTCCCTGCTCATTGCTGACCTGGGTCTAGGGATTCCCTGGGCCGAGGAGAGGGGATGGGACCATTTTAGTCTTAGACGCTGGAAAATCTGAAGAGGCCACGGCTGCAGAACAGATGTATCTGTGCACACACAAGTTTTGCACATACTTTTCAAGGGCTTTGTAGCTGCCCCCTCCCCTCCCCCAACTGGTACCCAGAACCCAGGCCATGGATCCCAGTTTAAAACATAAAATTCTCTGCATGGGACTGGACTGACACCTCAAATACATTCCCATAAATGCCAACTAGCCTTTTCCTTCCGAGATTGCTGGCCCCAAAGGAGCCAACTTTCAATGCCCAACACAGATACCCACCAACAGGGGAGCTGCTGCCCACAGGCACCCTTCTCATACACTGGTTGAGCTCATAATGGTCACTCCGTGAGTAAAGGCCATTGAGGCGGGGTTTCTTTTCACCCTCAAGTGTCCAAATCCTCTCCCCAAAGCACGTCGATCTCCCAAGTTATTCAGAAAATTGAAAATGTAGATGATCAAGCTGCAGGATTTAGGGGTAACTTTTCCCTACTCTTGTCCCTTCTTGAAGATACAGCAGAGTTCTAGCATAACTGGAGGGGACTGCACATGGGATGTTGAGAGGAGGCAGTGTAGACACAGATGCAGAACCCAGGATCCTCAAAGAAACCGAAATTGAGACCCCCTTCCATTTAGTTAGAGTTGCAAGGAGAATAAATATTCCTGGGCCTTCTTCCTCCGTCTCCCTTCCTAGGTAGGGTTCAATATGTTGGCGGGGTGGGTTTCAGAGCAGGCAGAGGTGCCGGAAGCACCATCCCTGAGACCTAAGCTCGATGTTTTGCCCCCAATTTTTTTTTGCCCCGGGCTGGGGGAGCGGCTCCGCGGTGGCTGGCGGGTGAGGCTGAGGCCGCCGCCGACCTCTAGGCGGCGCCCTGGCGTTGAGTCCTCACGCAGCTCTGTGTCCCGCGTTGGTGAAGGGGCCGGTTCCTGCAGACGCACTGGGCTTGGCCTGGAGCCGGCCGCCGGCGCGTCGCCTTTGGCGCCCTCTGCCAAGCAAGAGAAACACGATGAAACGAGTGAGGGCTGGGAAAGGAATCGGCAGCTAATGGTGGCTTCATCCGCTCCCCACCCCCTACCCTCCTTCCCGACTCTAGGGAGCCTTCCACAGCTCAGTCTCCTTTGATCTCCCCAGAAGCCTGCTCAAGGGCAGCGCCGGAATCCTGAATCCCTCCCCGCAACTTGCAAAGGAAGACACTGAGGCCCGAAGAAATTAAGTCATTAGCCCAAGATCAGAGCAGCTATAAAATGGTGAGGCAGGCCTGGAGGACAAGTCCTTTACTCCAAGTGAAATGCTCTTACCCCAAAATAGGACGACCCCAGCAAAAAATGTCTGTCTTGTGAGCAAAATTCATTTCAGGAAAGGCAGCCTTTGGGGGGGGTTGGAATTAAGATTTGGGGGAGCACGTAAGGGAAGTGGAAGCGAATATAGGAGAGTCTCAGCTAAGATTGGGAGACAAGATGAGTGCAGCCCCCTCCCTTCCAAGACAGGTCAGTTCAAAGCTTACAACCTCCCCAGATGTGTGTCATCGAGGGCAAGTGCCCGAGGCCTTCAAACACCCAGGTGAAAACGACCCACAGGACGGGGGGATACTGTGAAGTTTGAATACTTTGTAAAAGAGGCCCTGATGACAAGAGAAGGTGTTGGACACAGGACTGCCCCATAAACCCAAAAGAGAAAAGCCTTTAGGGCAGGCAGTCAGGTCACTTTCCTTGGCTCAAATGGCCTGTCGGATTCCAGGAAAAGGAAACCTTGCTCGGGACACAGTCCCTTTGAGTCTAAGCTCAGAGACACCCCCCCCCCAGAACCCGAGAAGCACGGAGTAGGAGAAACGGGGGTCCCTCTTCCCCTCCTGCCAAGGTAGAAACGCCATTTTACACTGCGGGGGCCCACTTGGAGACATCTCTCCAAAGTTCCTTGTAGGACAGAGGTCCCAGAGAATCCCCTGGGGGAAAGGCAGGGAAGCAGAGGGGCGAGGGGGGCTGCGGGGCTGGGGCAGCAAAGGGCACGCGCCCACCGTGCGGCAGACTAGGCCCCCCCACCCCGCCCGGGTCTGCAGCCCCGCGAGACGCACCTTCCCTGCATGGCAGGGGCTCCCGTGGACGCCTAATTACCGAGAGCACATCTGGAGCAGCTGCGCCCTAGCTGGCCTCGGGCACATTATTCTGCTCCAAACCCTATTTTCATTCCCGAGGCTGAATCATAAAAGACTCTAGAGGCAGGATAAATTCGGGTCTGTGTGTGTCAGCATTCTTACGTGCGTGTGTGTGCGCGCGCGCCCGCCCGCGTGCGCGCGCGCGAGTATGTGAGCGTCCGGGAAGCGTCTGTGCGTCTCGCTGTGATTTTGCCCAATCGATTCGCAAAAGTTAGGGGGAGAAATGGTGCAACATCAGGCGAATTCAACTGCGAACATACTGTCGGCCTCATTATCCGCCCATTTCCAGGGAAAGCATTTGGGGCTGGGAATTAGCCAGTTAATTGCATCACTTCTTTTGTTCACTTTAGGGCAGGAGAAACTATCTGCTTTCTATTAAAACATTCCATATTTCAAAAACTTTAAGATCTTCTCATTGTCAATTTTCTTTATTTCCATCCCCATTACACCACTTGAACATTCAGATATGCCAGTATCGCATCAACATTATCACACACACACACACACACACACACACACACACACACTTACACAGGGTTTATGCTGGGAAAAGTCACCCAGTTTCTGCATCTGCAAAATCTGGATGTCTTAACTCTTAGGGTTGTTGTGCGGATTAATTACTGTACAAAGTGTCTAGGATTTAGCACAATGCTTGGTGAACAGAGAGTATTTAGTAAATAATAACTATTAATAACAAGGAAGGGGAGGGGAAAAAGAGGTGGAGGAGGGAAGGGGGGAGGGAGAAGGAAGCCTGCTTTGTTCTCAGAGAACCAGTCTAGGTTGGAGGGTATGTTCTCAGCCTGTATATGTATAATGTATTCTTTTGACTTAAAGCAATGTCCATAAAAGCGAGGCCCCTTGAACCCCTTGGCCTGTAACTACCTCTTCAATAAGGAACAGAGAATTGGGGCAATTATCTGGCTCATTTCAGGTTCAAACTCCCTTTAGCCTGAAGTATCTGGATCTGGTGGGGGAAAGGTCTGGGGAGTGGTGGCATATTCTCATTCAGCTTCTCAATAAGCCTTTTCCCTTTGCTGGAGTTGTTGAACAAGATCCCTGCCTCAGAGAATGGGTGGAAAAGAAATAGGGGGCCCAGAAAGATGGAATTAAAGCAGAACATCTGAGAAATACTTCAGAAAAACCACGGCTTGCTCATTTCCTGGGCATTTCCTACTCATTTCCTTGGAGTTTCTCCATGTTATTGGCCTCAGAGACTCCCTAAACAAATCACAGAGCTTTGCCTGGTGGGAACCTTCATTTCACATTCCACGGATGTCTCCTGAGTGCCTACTGTGTGCCCAGCGCTGGGCTAAGCTCTGGGGCTCCAGCGGGAGCTGCACTCCACCAGTTAGCAGTGCTGAGTTGCAGGCAGTGAGAGGTCTCTGCTCCCAGAAACTAGTCCAGGGATCTAGGGAGGGTAAGACCCTGCTGGGCAGGAACTTCTGGCCAATGACTGCATTGCCTTTTCAGGGCCAAAGTTCTGGTGCAGGGGCGGAGCCAGATGGTCTGAGGGCACCCCCCCTCCCATTGTCTGTGGGAAAGAGGCCAACTCCACGGTGGGGATGGCCTTGTGGGGGGAGGGGTGGGGCACAGGGAATTGAGAAGGGGTGAAGAGATGGCTAGAGGCTCCTGACCCTCAGTTGGAAGTTCCTGAGAACACCAATTAGCTTTTTTTTTTTTTTAATTAGTAAAGTAGGAAACAAATGGGCATATATTTCTTCTGCTCTGATTAAAAGCATTTAGGTCAGGTGTTCCCAGCCTGAATTATTCAGTTTAAGTTGTCCCAAGCAGAAAATTGTTTGTTTTTTTCTTTTTATTTTCAGGCAGGGGTCTGAATACTATCAGCCAGCCATTGGCTTCTGTGTGACAGCCCAGAACGGTGGGGGCTGCTAGGTGATGGTTGTGTCAGCCCAGAGAGAGGCAACTGGCAATGGGTTGAGGTCTTTCCTTCCCCAGGTCACATTTACTTGAAATGTGTAGGCAATTGAGGATGAGCCAGGAGGGTAGGGCAGTGTGTGAGTGTGTGTAGGGTGTAATAAGCCAATTTCCTGTTCCCTTAATTTGTCTGAACACAGTGCTGAAAGAAGGAAGTTGGTTCACTTCTCAGACCCCAATGAAACCTGACTTTTTTTCGGGGAGATCAACTCACAGGAGTGGGGAAAAATGCCAGGAAGGTTTTACTGGGCCGTGGACGACAAAGAGTCTAAAGAAGCCAAAACTTGGGGTGAAACTCGGGGGCCCCCAGGCTCGTCAGGAGCTACCTGATAATGCGTGGCTCCTACCAACAAGATAACAAAAATATTTGGGAGCAAATCCTTCCCTTTTCCACCCAGAATTCATTATCGCCGGACTCTAACCTTGGCTAAGCCCTCAGGCCCACGGAGAACTGGGGTCTCCGAAGAAACTGAATAAGCAGATCAATAAGGGACACAAAAGAACATTACACTGCCCGATCTCCATTTGTTTGGCTCACAGACAGCATTATCTAGAGGGTTGTCGTCAGACAGCCTTCCCCTCTCCAGGAGTTTCATTACTTTTTTTTTGTTCCCTGATATGTTTTTTTATTCCTCAAGTCCCACTTCCTTCGGGCAGCTGGTTGCACCCTGGGCCAGCCCAAGATCAGTTTCTTGCAGCAAACCTCTTCCCATTTTCCTG